CATCGCCAGACATCATAGAGATCGTTAGTATGTAAAAAATGGTTAAAAGTGTGTTTTGGAGGAGCGTTTGTTGGAGGAAGAGTCTAGGAGTGGATTGCCTATGATGTTGAAGTCTCCGCCAATGAGTAGTCTGCCTTTTTTTTGAGAGGTGATGGTCGAGTTGAGTTTGTTGTAAAATTGGAGTTTGTTGGTGTTTTGGGCCGTAGACGTTGACCAGGGTGTATAGGATTTTGTTGTTTTTGCATATAAGAATGTGGTAGTGGCCTTGGGGGGGTCTTTTGTTTCCGGGATGTATTGTGATGGGGTTGCGGCGGGGGGATGTACTAAATATTGAAGCGAGTTTCTTATGCCTGTGATGACACCATTCTTCTTCTTGGGGTTTTGTCACCATATATAACTGGAGAGAAGTAATGTATATTGAATTTAGGGATTTTGGTGGAGGCGAAATGGGTTTCTTGTAGGAATAGTACGTCAGCTTGTAGGAAGTGGGCTTCTTTCAGAAGTAGAGATCTCTTGTAAGGGGGAGTTAAGGCCACGGACATTTAAAGATGATATGTTAAGCATTTTGTTGAGTGTTGACAAGTTGAATGGGGTAGCGGAGTTGTTTCTTAGATTGTAAGGAAAGGTAGGTTTTCTTCTGTCGTAGGTGGTGAACTTTTAGTAGTTTTAATGTTGTGGACTTGGTTTGGTTGCTGGTTTAAGGAAGGTTTTTCATCTTGTGGTGGAGGTCTTTGAAGAGAGAAAGATTGGCTTGATTGACTGGTGATGTGTGGAGGGGAGGAGGGTAAAAAACACTTGTAAAAAAAACAAGTAACATGTGTAACACATTTTGCTACTGCACAACGGGAGGTTTGAACAAGCATGAGAGAGATGTCATGCTGGGAGAAGACTTGGGGTCTGAAAATTTCCGATTCCGTGATTCCGCAGTGCTTTCGTCATGGAGACAAGCTTCTTGCGGTTGAGGAATGGAGCTTTTGAGATGTCAGTAAATAATTTGATATTCGTTTGGGATGCTGAAATTGAAGTAGAATTCCTAGCAGCTATCATTATTTTCTCTTTCATGTGATAGAAATGTATGCATGCTAATGTGTCTCTGGGTATTGCGGCCGGTAGGAATGATGACTTGGGTATTCTGTGTGGCGATCTATGGCGAGCTCTACGTCTGTAAGTGAAGGAGTAAAGTGCTTCATAAATTGTTGGATATAAGGAACTATGGCATCCCATAGTGATGGATTCAGGGATACAGGGAAATTTTATATTATTCCGCCTGGAGCGGTCTTCTAGATCTGCCAGTTTAAGTTTTATTTGTTCTATGTCGGCTTCATGGTCTGCGTGTGCATCTATTAGATCGTGTGTGCCGTGAACTTTTCTCCCATTTTGTTTTCAATATGGCGAATACGGAATTCTTGTTTTTGTACTGTGTCTGAGATTTGGGATAGTGTTGTTGTCAGATCATTGTGCAGTGTTTGTTGCAGAGAAAGAAGCATATTTTTCATAGAAATTTCCGTGATAGGTTGGTCAGAGGCAGGAAAGGTTTCAATTAAAGATGGAGAAGTATTTTCAGTAATTGTAGTTGGAAAGGAAGGCTGTCTGTGAGGAATGATGTCTATGTCCAGTCTAGGTCTGGATTTGGCAGGACTGCTGGTAGAGGGAGACAGGGGAGGAGAGGAGTCACCCAGGTCTCCTGGGTACAGTGGTGCCTTGAGCCTGGGGTCCAGGATCTGTGCTGTGTTCTCCTCTGTTTGTGTGAGGAGGTTGCTGGCGCCATCTTGGCTGCAGGGGCTGAGAGCTGCAAAGATATTTGTCAGTTTCCCCGGGTGCCCCGGAGCTTTGCGGCGGGGGGTCATGTTGGGACCCTTATTGTTGCTATCATGAGCCGTGGAGCCTTTGGGACCAGTGTGTGCCGGTTTATAGCTGGAGGTGGGATGGAGCTCTATTCAGTGAGAGTCCATCCACGGAGCCGGCCGCGCATGCGCCCCTGCAATTGAAATTTAAATTAGATTAAATGTTCTGCTGTTTTTTGTTTAAATTTTTGTTTTGAAAAAAAAAATTGAATTAACCATTTGATGACCGGGCTATAACCGAATGACGTCCTCCAGAACAATGTTTCCCGCACGCCCTCCACGAGCCCTGTGGTCTCTGTCAGATACAGCTGATCACATGATATGGTAAAGGGCCAATCCCAGCGCCCTTTTAGTACGTGATCAGCTGTGTCCTATGTGACCATTTGGAAACTCGGACACTGCCCGAGGGTCCGAGGTCAGTAGGGGGCCCCATGAGATGCCCCTGGTACCTTTTTCATAGGCTATTTTGAGTTTGGGCAAGGACACAGGGGCCCCATGATCCCCTATTGCCCGGGGGCCCCATGAGTTGTCAGTCCGCCCCTGGTCCTATGACACAGCTGATCAAAATGTAAATACAGTTGTCAGTTATGTCACACTGTCACAGCGTGAGGAAAGAGGAGAGCTGGTAATCGGCAAGTGTGTTTAAAACATCAGAGGCGGTCCAGTGCCGTCCCAACAGTGTCCATCAGTGCCGTCCCTACAGTGTCCATAGGTGCCGTCCCAACAGTGTCCAGTGCCGCCCCAACAATGTCCATCAGTGCCGCCAGCCAGTGCTGCCTATCAGTGCCTCCCTGTAATTGCCCATCAGTGCTACCTACCAGTGTAGCCTCATCAGTGCCGCCTCATCAGTACCTATCAGTGCAGCCTATCAGTGCTGTATGTCATTGCCCATCAGTGCAGCCTCATCAGTGCCTCCTCGTCAGTGCCCATCAGTGCTACCTATCAGTGTAGCCTCATCAGTGCCGCCTCATCAGTGCAGCCTATCGGTGCTGCATACCAGTACCCATCAGTGCCTCCTCGTCAGTGTCCGTAAATGCTACCTATCAGTGTAGCCTCATCAGTGCCACCTCATCAGTACCCATCAGTGCAGCCTATCGGTGCTGTATATAATTGCCCATCAGTGGAGCCTCATCAGTGCCTCCTCGTCAGTGCCCATCAGTGCTACCTATCAGTGTAGCCTCATCAGTGCCCCCTATCAGTACCCATCAGTGCAGAATATCGGTGCTGCATACCAGTGCCCATCAGTACAGCCTCATCAGTGCACATCAGTGCCTCCTTGTCAATACCTATCAGTGCTACCTATCAGTGTAGCCTCATCAGTGCCGCCTCATCAGTACCAATTAGTGCAGCCTATCGGTGCTGTATATCATTGCCCATCAGTGCAGCCTCATCAGTGCACATCAGTGCCTCCTCGTCAGTGCCCATCAGTGCTACCTATCAGTGTAGCCTCATCAGTGTCGCCTCATCAGTACCCATCAGTGCAGCCTATCGGTGCTGTATATCATTGCCCATCAGTGCAGCCTCATCAGTGCACATTAGTGCCTCCTCGTCAGTGCCTATCAGTGCTACCTATCAGTGTAGCCTCATCAGTGCCGCCTCATCAGTACCCACCAGTGCAGCCTATCGGTGCTGTATATCATTGCCCATCAGTGCAGCCTCATCAGTGCCTCCTCGTCAGCGCCCATCAGTGCTACCTATCAGTGTAGCCTCATCAGTGCTGGCTCATCAGTACCCATCAGTGCAGCCTATCAGTGCACATCAGCGAAGGAGAAAAATTACCCGTTTGCAATTTCTTATAACAGAAACTAAGAAAAAAAAATGTTTTTCAGTTCTTGGTCTTTTTTCGTTTGTTTAGCAAAAAATAAAAAACCCCAGTGGTGATTAAATACCTTCAAAAGAAAGCTGTCTGTCTAAAAAAAAAATAAAATTGTAATATGTGTACAGTGTTGTATGACCGTGCAATAGTCATTCAAAGTGCGACAGCACTGAAAGCTGAAAATTGGCCTGGTCAGGAAGGGTGAAAGTGCCCGGTAGGCAAGTGGTCAATTAAACCCTACTGTGTGTGTGTATATATGTATAATATATATGTATATATATATATATATATATATATATATACCGTATTTTTTGCTCCATAAGACGCACTTTTTTCCCCCAAAAAAAAGGGGGGAAAATGTCAGTGCGTCTTATGGAGCGAATATAGAGCGGCCAGTCCGGTATTTCCACCGCTGCCGTGTCATAATACAGGGCCAGCCGCTCAGCTCTGCAGCGGGACCTTACCTGTTCCTCTTTCCAGCGCCGCGCTGTCTTCCCGGCTTCTGTAGTGTGGGCGCTCGGCTTGACAGCCGGGTGACCAGTGCGCATGCGCGAGAAGCTCGCGCATGCGCACTGGGCACCCGGCTGTCAAGCCGAGCGCCCACACTTCAGAAGCCGGGAAGACAGCGCGGCGCTGGAAAGAGGAACAGGTAAGGTCCCGCTGCAGAGCGGACACTAAACAAAGAACAACTCCACGGAAGTAAGAGCGGGTACCTGTCAAATTCAGGTACCCGCTCCCCCCCCCCCTCCCTCCCCCCCCCCAAAGGTCAGCAGTCATCTCCTGTTCTGTCCGCAGTCTCTGGCCATCTCCTGTACTGTGTCCGCAGTCTCTGGTCATCTCCTGTACTATGTCCCCAGTCCCTGGCCATCTCCTGTACTGTGTCTGCAGTCTCTGGTCATCTCCTGCACTGTGTCCGCAGTCTCTGGTCATCTCCTGTACTGTACTGTGTCCGCAGTCTCTGGTCATCTCCTGTACTGTGTCTGCAGTCTCTGATCATCTCCTGTACTGTGTCCGCAGTCTCTGATCATCTCCTGTACTATGTCTGCAGTCTCTGGTCATCTCCTGTACTATGTCCGCAGTCTCTGGTCATCTCCTGTACTATGTCCCCAGTCCCTGGCCATCTCCTGTACTATGTCCGCAGTCTCTGGTCATCTCCTGTACTATGTCCCCAGTCCCTGGCCATCTCCTGTACTATGTCCGCAGTCTCTGGTCATCTCCTGTACTGTGTCTGCAGTCTCTGGTCACCTCCTGTACTGTGTCCGCAGTCTCTGGTCATCTCCTGTACTGTGTCCGCAGTCTCTGGTCATCTCCTGTACTGTGTCTGCAGTCTCTGATCATCTCCTGTACTGTGTCCGCAGTCTCTGATCATCTCCTGTACTATGTCTGCAGTCTCTGGTCATCTCCTGTACTATGTCCGCAGTCTCTGGTCATCTCCTGTACTATGTCCGCAGTCTCTGGTCATCTCCTGTACTATGTCCGCAGTCTCTGGTCATCTCCTGTACTGTGTCCGCAGTCTCTGGTCATCTCCTGTACTGTGTCCGCAGTCTCTGGTCATCTCCTGTACTGTGTCCGCAGTCTCTGGTCATCTCCTGTACTGTGTCCGCAGTCTCTGGTCATCTCCTGTACTGTGTCCGCAGTCTGCAGTCTCTGGTCATCTCCTGTACTGTGTCCGCAGTCTCTGGTCATCTCCTGTACTGTGTCCGCAGTCTCTGGTCATCTCCTGTACTATGTCCGCAGTCTCTGGTCATCTCCTGTACTGTCCGCAGTCTCTGGTCATCTCCTGTACTGTCCGCAGTCTCTGGTCATCTCCTGTACTGTCCGCAGTCTCTGGTCATCTCCTGTACTATGTCGCAGTCTCTGGTCATCTCCTGTACTATGTCCGCAGTCTCTGGTCATCTCCTGTACTGTGTCCGCAGTCTCTGGTCATCTTCTGTACTGTGTCCCCAGTCCCTGATCATCTCCTGTACTATGTCGCAGTCCATTGGTTTAGAATATTTTTTTTCCTGTTTTCTGCCTCTAAAACCTAGGTGCGTTTTATGGTCAGGTGCGTCTTATGGAGCGAAAAATACAGTATATTTATTTTTTTATTTTTTGGCATATCATTAGTTTCCTCTATGTTGATTAATTACAGCTATCTCTGTAATTAATAACATCATATGATAATAGTGGAAGGAACAACTCTTTCAAATTGAACACGTCTCAAACGTCTGGTCTGCAAACATTTGCAAATGCATAGAAAATCTTTGCTAAACTACCAAAGTACATTCACATTGAATGCCAGTTTGTTCATTAAGTTCATATCAAAATAGGTTTCTAGATCACCAAAGTAAAATAAAAACAGCATAATCACTCAAGGTATAATAATTCATAATTTACATCTTTACTGGTGCTGAGAGTTCTACAATGAATTTACAATGTAGTTATTTGTAAAGTAATATTTTTGTCTTGTGATGTCTTGCATATTTATAATCCTACACAGAGAACATGAAGCTGAAAAAGTCTTAGGCTTGATTCACATCTGTGCGGGTGGTGCCGCAGCGGGACACAAACAAATACCTGCAGCCGCACCACCCACACAGAGGAATGCAGGCCCCGCAGGCGAGTGTCATTAATTCTAATGGTACGCAACTGTACTGGAAACTTCAGTTCCCGTGCAGGCTACGATTTCCCAACTACTACAGGGACTTCTTCCCTGTGTGTCCCGTGACACGGGAGTCCATTCAAATGAAAAAATCCAGATCGCGGCCCGCACTGCCGTACATATGTGAACCAGGGGTTAAGGAATGATGATACAAAATACCAACCCCACTATGTGCCTACAGTGCATGCATGTGTAATATATTGTAATATATACTGCAGATGAGAAAAAACTAAATAAAGTTTTTCAAAATATTTCAACAAATTTCTTTGTCATTTTTATTTATCTCATTTGTGGATTGTTGGTGAATGTTCTTTATGGCTGGTTTACAGTAATAACTTTTTTTTATAAGAGTTCCTGTAGTCAAAAGATATCACCACTGCAAGATCATCCTGGCATTTACATACATATTTTGGCAAAAGAAGCTTTTAAATGTCTTTTCCAGACTCGGTTTTGGGGAATAGCAGTGCTCATCCAATGAGGTTCTTGCAATGATGAAATCTTTGATTCGTAATGCATACAGTCAATTGTCTTCTAAACAGAGTGGTGTAGCCGTAGAGGATGGTCCACACCAGATACAGCCATGCTGGGAATAGGACACCCCTCTCTCTCAACGCACATTAAAACAAAGAGAGGGCGCCAGCATCGAAATGTAGATTTTAATCGAAACGTGTAAAAAGGGAGTTAAAAATGCACTCGCTGCATGTAAAGGGTGGATCAGCATAGCACAAGGAGCCAGGATGGATGCAACAGTCTGGTCTGCAGAGGTTGGCTGGAGATGGCAGAGCTGCGCCAGGAAGCTGCTGCAGGAAGTGATGGAACGCAAGCTGAGCTGCGGTCTGCTGGGAGGCTTCTGGGATCCTTCGGCTGATGGCGCTGAGAAGGTGCTTTCAGCTGGTTTCTGTTGTGATGACAGCACATGAAGCAGGGGACATGGTTGCGTGTTTCAAGGCTTAGTCCCGCCCCTTTTTCCAGACATGTAAACTTACTAAATCTGCCTTAATCTGGCAGCTTCCTGGCGCAGCTCTGCCATCCCCATCAGCCTTCCTGCCGACTTCTCCAGACCAGACTGTTGCATCCACCCTGGCTTCCCGTGATATGCTGATCCACCCTTTACTTGCAGTGAGTGCACTTTAACACCTTCTTTACTTGTCTCAATTACACTTAGTCACTGGCGCCCTCTCTTTATTTTATCTGCCTACATGCATAATAGGGGGCTCAGGGCCTGTCATGCAGAGGAGCAGCTTACATCCACAGTGGTTTTAATAGACTAATTGTGACTTGATGAGAGCAGCAACATTCCGTTAGCCCCTGGGGTTTTTATTTTTTTGCTAAATTAACAAAAAAAGACCAAAATTTTTTTAAAAAAAAACACATTTTTCTTTAGTTTCTGTTATAAAAGTTTACAAATAAATCTCTATAATTTTGTACCATATTGTGTTTCCTTTATTTGCACATGTGCCACATTACCCTTCACATTACCATCCCTCACAGCCTTGTCAGACCTCATATACAGACACAGCACAAAGTCAAGGAAAGCTCTCCAAAGCTCTTCATCTCTGGTGTGTCACAAAACACCAACGGGAAGAAGAAAAATATATTTGAAATATATTTTAAAAATATTCTTCCCAAATATATTGACATATATGTGAAATACTACAATTTTGGCCGTATTCAATATATTTCAGAATATATTTCCATTGTATACAAATAAATATATATATATATATATATATATATATATATATATATATATATATATATATATATATATATATATATATGAGGACTTCTCTCACTCTGCCAGGCACCACTGGTCTGGTAAGTATTTTAGTATGGAAGAAAAATATATTTGAAATATATATTTTAAAAATATTCTTCCCAAACATATTGACATATATGTGAAATACTACAATTTTGGTCGTATTCAATATATTTCAATAAATATTTCAATAAATATATATATATATATATATATACTATATGTTGAAATGCGTTTTTATTACAAAACATATGAAAAATATTTTTAACCACTTGCCGTCCGCCTGCTGTTTATAAACGGCAGGGCGGAGGCAGTCCAGGGGCGGGTTGCCGTTCATAAACGGCACCCGCCTTTTCTAGCTGTGCGCGCTCCCTGGGAATCGGTGCCTGCTGTGTCCTCCGGACACAGTGAAACACCGATCGTCATACGGGACCTCTGTACGAGGTCCTGATCATGTGATCACTGATAGGCCAATCAGTGATCACATGCAAAGTAGTAAGCAAGATGTCACTTGTGACATCATTGCTTACTACGTGTGAAATCTGTGAATGATCACAGAGGTCACATGGTACAGGGCTATTCACAACAGCCTTGTACCATGTGACAAACTGTAACCAATCACAGCTCACTCAAGAATGCAGACAGAGAAAGAGAAATGATTTCTTTTACATCCTATATGGGTGTAAAAGCAATCAGTGTAAAAAAATAAAAAAAATCTTCATCACCCCCCACAAGTAGTACAGTGTCACCATGGTGACACTGTACTGCTAGAGTGACAGTATGTAAAAAAAAAAAAAAAAATAAAAAATATATAAAAAAATAAAATAAAAATGTAAAAAAAAAATGATTACAAATTATAATTTTTGGTTATAAACTAATTTGGATTTTTTTTTTACTAAAAAAAATAACGGAATAAATTTTGGCCAAGATTTATGATGAAATATTATTTATTTGCAAAATTTTATAAAAAAAACACTTTTTTTCAAAATTTTTGGACTTTTCATTTACATAGTAAAAAAAATAAAAATCCCAGCGGTGAATAAATACCACCGAAATAAAGCTTTATCTGTCTCAAAAAAATAGTAAAAAATTCATATAGGAACAGTATTGCATGACCGCGCAATTATCATTCAAAGTGTGATAGCGCTGAAAGCTGAAATTTGCCCTGGACAGGAAGGGGGTAAAAGTGTCCGGACAGGAAGTGGTTAAAAAATACATTTTCAAATATACTCTTTGTCTTTAAAAATGTAATCTACATTTTTGGAATGCATTTACAAATATATGTAAAAAGATATGTTAAAATTACTTTTTTATGTTAACAAATATCCGAAGAATAGATTTAAAAAAATATTTTCATATATTTTGTAATATATAAAAAACGCATTTCAAAGTGTGTGTGTGTTGAAATCTATTTAATACGGCCAAAATTGTAGTATTTCAAATATATGTCAATATATTTGGGAAGAATATTTTTAAAATATAGTTTTCTTCCACATGGGATGTGAGACCCGAGGGGCAGATTTTTGTTTGAAGGGAGCAATATTTAACCATATGTTCTCACATTTGCCAGTACGCTGTCTGCATACTATCACAATTGCTTGGATACTGTTACGATTGCCCAATTGTTTTCTGCATATTGTCATATTTCTTTATGTAGCACTACCCCCTTAAGGGTTGCTCAGTAATTTTTGGGTTCCCTGTCAATCTAGACTCCTATATATATATATTGGAGTTAAATGTAACTTGGTCAAAAAGAACAGAATAACATGGGGATAGGTAGCAAAGATAATCACTCTAGTCTATTTGAAGTAAAAGTAGCATGCATTCACAGTGAAATAGCAGTAACTGTTAGCAGGCCTGCTTTCAGAATTAGTCCATTGCCTCCAATCTGCGGGGCCTGTTGAATCCCCCAACTATCAAACGGGTAAGCTCACTGTGGGTCCTCAGAACTAGATGACAAGGATTAGATGTGAAATTAAGAGACAGCTCTCATGTATAATTGATCATCCCTTTGAGAATACTATAGAGACTTATGCACGCTTGTTGGGGCCCAGGTGGTATGAAGTTGAGTTAAGGTGTAGATAATAGTTCCTCAAAATGATAAAACAAAGATAATAGTGAGGAAAAAAGGAAGGATTTAACACTTTTGCTTTTGATAGTAGTGATTTAGTGCAAGGTCCTCTTTAAGGCACTAAAAAAAAAGGTAAACAAAATACAATAATAACTTCCGTGCTAAAGTATGATACGTTTATATTAGCAGATTGCTTGCACCAAACACATACAAATATGCCAATCATAATAAAATATTAAAACTGTGCCGCGCTCTACCTAAACTAAAGTACACTATAAATATACGTGCAAATATATGAATAATCCAACACAAATGTATCCAAATGTCTCTGGAAGTGAGGCTTGGGTAAAGAAAGGAAGAGGAATTGTT